TACGCACATATCATTTCAAGCATGCGTGTACCTTGTTTTAACAATCTTATATGAGGAAAAATCCAAAAATCCTTTACAATATTCACCATATAACCATTTATGAAAATAATCATATATTGCTTTCAGCCGCAGCAAAATATCGTCATAAATTTTCATCTAAGTCAATATACATAATGTTTTTTCTATTCGTAGGCTACAGAAATCTTCCCCATTGCTTGTTTCCGTTGAAGTCGTTTTGATTCACCTCTGTATTTTACATTGCTGCTAGAGTGCTCTCGATTACAATCAAGTAGACATGACCATATATGGGCATGCATGCCCATGATGTATACATGTATACATGTCCATCAACCTGAGTAGAATATCGGTGGACACATATCAAAAACAATCAATTAAATGATGATTCATTTCGAATACATCTAAACAATTACCTAGACTATGATCCACAGCCGAGTAGCTCATGAACTGTTTACTGGTATATTAGCACGAGCTTATAACTATCTAAATAAGCAGCTGATTCAAGGTCACGTGTTTTATAATATCTGAGAGATTAAAACAAGGAGTCAAGTCAGGTCACACCTATGTATAAAATTGGAATATAATATATTTGCCGTTTGCTGGGAATCAGATGTTTGAAAAAATTCATCCCAGTCACTAGCTCACAGTAGGGCCAGGAAGAAATCCCAAGAAAAGTAAGGTTGAGCAGGATTAGGAGGAGAGTGCTCTTTATGAATAGTGGGGGCAAGGAATTCACAAGAAACCATTCGGTGATCGCTACCATGGATGTAGCCGAGTGTACGAGTAACGACACTAGATAGATTTAGAGTGGAAACTAAATAAAGTATGTTATTTTTCTTGGTAGGGGATGAAACGTGTTGAATCCAGTAACCAGTGCGAATGTATGGGATGAAATCAGTAAGGTGTGAGGGAGAGCTGAGGGTGTTCCAGTCAATTTTGGGTGCATTGAAGGCACTAGCGATTAGTTTAGAACACCTAGGCAATGGGGCTAGGTAATTAAAAGCGTCAATAATGGGCAGAAAGTCTAACGCAGAAGTACCGGGAGGTCTATGTAGGCATCCTATTTGGAGGTAAGAGCTTCGTAGTTGCAATGTTAACCAAATGGAATCCTTAATAGAGTTTAGTAGGGGGTGATCATGAGGGGTTGCGCGGAAGTGACATTTTGTATATACTAAGCAGCCGCCACCACGTCGGCTTCTGCTTTTCATAAATAAGTGGTAATCAGATAACGATATTCGCTCAGTTGAGGGGAATTCAGGAAGCCAAGATTCAGTAAAGAATATCAGGTCAGGGCTAGCAGCAAAAACAGTATTCTGGAAGGAGTAAAACTTATTCATGATGGAGCAACTATTCAAAAGAAGAAGGGAAATTCTGTAATGGCTATCAGTTGAATGTAGATTACCGAAGGATAATGTGGTAGAAACAATTATATTTGGACCGGGGGTTATGACATCCTTAGGGGAGGTATGAGATTGACGCGCGTTGAGATTAATGTGCAAAGGGGAGGGTAGAAGGGACGGAGAGTTATGCGCTAATCCAGCTGAAACACTGGGGCGTTTAACATAACTTAGTGAAAGTAAGAGGGTGGTGTTGGGAAACAGTGGGAGAGCAGGGATGTTTTTGGGTGGGGAGTATGGGATGTATATTTGCGTCTTGTGATTTTATACGTCAGTAAGGAACATGGGAAGAAGTAATGGATCCATCCCGGATGGGGTGGTGGTTGAGTGGTGGGAGTGGTGATTGCCATGGATATCTGGATGGAATTCTCTGCGAAGGGGGATAGGAGCTGGGAAGCGCAGGTGAGGGGTTACTGGTTACTGCGGAAAGGATGGATTGTATCCTGGGATAGACTGCTCGAGAGGTAGAGGGGAGTATCGGAGTATTTGTCGGTAATAAGCATGCCCAAGAATTGGTGGTAAGAGTAAGGTTTTCGCCTGGGGATGCCATACAACGACTAGGGACAGGACGGGGTCCAATGTGTATTTGGGCTTGAGTAAGTCCATG